TTCTTCTAGGGGAGAGCTCATCCCACTGATTCAGGTGAAGCTTGAGGGGAGGAAAACCCAAAAAGTTGGATTATGATTTTTGGAGGAAAGGAGGAAATGTTAGAAGCAGAGGTATAATTTATTTACTTTTGAGAAATTCAGATGTTTGTTTCTCTTGGACTTTTCTAACTCAGTTTCAGTACAAATTACTTTGTTCTGTTGCATTTCATAAGCTTTTTTTTCTTTTTTGCTTAATGTGCTAGTTTGTGCTACTTTAATTTTGAGAGGTATCTTGATGCAGTATCACTGGGTAATGGTTAAGGCAGTGCAGCACCAGGCTGTGCCTCTCTCACAGACGTGCAGGGGTTCTGGGATTTGTTTTTAGTGTAAGTAGCTTTAGGGTGTGTTTTGAGCTCCCAGTATGGACACTGCAGAGTGAAAAGAATCAGATGGTGAAACTGCTGTGTGTTCACAGAAATGGGTTCCAGCACTGGGACACGTTACTGGGCTGCCTGAGGAGAATAATGCTGCACTGACCATATTGCTGGGTTTGGCTGCGTGCAGGTCTGCACAGATCCTGCCTGTGTTAATGTTGGGATACCTGGAAAAGCCAGGCTGAGTTTCACTGTGTCAAATGCCTGACTTTCTGAGATGATCAATCATGTATCTCTGCAGGTTGAAAGTTTGTTCTGATTCCCTTTTTCTCCTCCTGGTATTAATCCTTTGTGCTGCTGTTCAGCAACAGGTCTGCAGCAGTTTGAAAATTTTTTATAACAGCTGTTTTCAGCGCATTTTGAGTACTCTTGCCTCATTGTTTACTAAAAGGCAAGCAGTGCATAAATGCTTTTAGTCCACGTGCTCTCCTGCTGGTTTCAGTACAGGTCCAGTGGCAAGAGAAAGGTTTAGGTTGTTCCCCTGCAAAGCCCCATCTTTTTTCCTCCCCCAGGACAAAGCAAGCAGCTCTGTGTGTGTGGCAGTGCCATGTGAGTGTTGTGGATTTCCTGTTGTGTGGATGAGTAATTGAGCTTTGCTTTCCCAGAGTCTTGAACAGCAGCAGGAGCTGGCATTAACCCTTACAAACAGGATCCGTTGGATACTGCTCAACACAGCTCCTGTGGGATGGGTGACGCGAATGAGTGGTCCCGATTGCCTCCTTTTTTCATTGGCACTCACTCACTGGAAGGAAAGCTGTAGCAGCTCAAGCCTGCAGGGATGTTTTTGCCACACTCATTGTCCCACTTCCCTCTGGGACTCCACGTTCCATGGTGGACCTGCAAACAAACCAGTGTTTAAAACCACCTTCTGCAAGGACAGCTCCTGTGTTCTCTCTCCCCAGGGTGTTTGGGGTTGGGTTGCAGGAGACCCACATTGCTACTGTGCTTGGCTTCTAGCCTATTATGCTAAACTTACCCTTTAATTCTAGCTAAGCTGCATACTGGAGTATATTTTTGAGCAAGGAAAGAGTGTCTGGGCCTTGGGGGTGTAAGCCAGCCTTGTGTTTGAGCAGCAAGCCTTGCCATAAGGAAGCTAAATGGCTATAAGCATTCTTTTTTGTGTTTTGCTGAGATTAGCACTTGGCTTAACTCGTTGCTTGTTTCCATAGCGACTCCATAGTAACAGTTTTAGGAGCTCTGAAGTTTATTCAGGCGTTTCCAGGCTGACTTTATGAAAGTTTTCTTTTCTTCTGGGCTAATGGGGTGGCTGTCATTGACTCCCATTTAGAATGGCTGCCAGATTGCCCCACATCAGTCTGGGTTGTACCACATGGGACCAGAGTTACCCCAACCACCCGATTTTAACGTGCCCTGTGGGGCTGTGCTGAAACTTTTTGTTTTTAAGCAACATCATTAATATCGTTCACTTGATCTGGGAATGGCATGTGCAAAACTATTTCAGGCATTCAGATTTCAAGATGAATTTCAGGCATTCAAGTTAGAGATGTTTGGAAGCTTATTCATTCATTGTTTATTTGTTGTGCTTCGAGTGTGAAATGCTGATTGGCACAGCACTGCTTGGTAAAACCCTTCTGTCTTTTAAGCTGATGTGCTCTTTTCTGTCTCTGCTGTTTCCATCTATTCTAAATGGTGTCTGTCCTTGGATTGGATTTTCCAGCCAGTTCCCTCAGGTGCTCTGCCTCACTTTCCATCCTGGTGTTGCCCTGTGAGGGGCATATGCAGGATGAATGGAGGGACTCCTTTCTGTTCTGAGCTTTGATGAACTTGTGGGAATATAGTGGGGAATGAACCTGCTGCTACTTTGATGGGGGGGGGGGAATATATTCTAAAGGTTGGTCCTGGAATAATAAGCTATAATGAAGAAGCTATAATTTCTCCTGATGACTCACCTGTAGACTTGTCTACTACCTCCTTGTTAACCTGGGTACAAAACTCAGCAACCGGTGTTGCCACTGCCTTTGATACCTCACCAAAGATAGATGTGTTTCTCCCACAATAAAATGCTTATTGATACAGTAGCTCTTCCTGGAGGTAACGAGTGCCTGTTTAGCTGATGTGCTCAAGACATGTATCTGAATTTCCCCATTGTAGCTGTGAGCTCCTTTTCTCTGCAGGCCTTTGACTGCAAGGCTGTGGGAGGCAGATGAGCATCACCAGACTCTTCAGATTCTCTGTTTTGCCTTGAGATGGGGTTTGGAGGGAGAACTGCAGGAGAAGAAAGTAGAGAGACAGGTATTACAGTTTTGAAGTCTTGTTGGCCCTTGCGAAGGGGGTTTGTGAATAACTTTTACTGGGTGCAGCACTAACAGAGGGGAAAACCAACAGTGCCTCAAGCCTGCAAGCTGCAGGCTTGAGGCACTGTTGATTTTCCCCTCTGTTAGTGATTGGAGCTGACCTGCTCACCTGGGCCTGGAGAGGGTCTCCTGTTCTGGCCAGGATGGCTGTACAGAATGGCTGTACCATTTTTGGGTGTTGGGCCCTTGGTGCACTGAACTGCTGTCTGTGTGGAAATGAGATCATGTCTTGTCTTCTCTTGCCCAACAAAAGCCGGGAGCCAGGATAGCCCGGGGATGAGCGAACAGGTTACGCAGTGATTCTGACACGTCAGGTATTTCACAGGGCTTGCTGCCAGTTTGGGAACATTTGGATCTTTGAGCTCCTTTTCCAGTGGCATCCCTTAGAGAAAGAAAGAAAAGAGAGAATGAAAAATAAATCTGCTGTATTACAGACACAATGAGCTCTGGATCAAAGTGGGATGGAGCTTGAAAGGTGATGTTTTGAATTTTGCTGGCCAAGAGGGGTTGTGACTCGGATGCCATGGGTAAACAATGAGGAGAGAGACAGTCCCTCTGGGAGTCAGTGTCTGACTTCACAAGCCAGCAGTTATTAAAAGATGAATAGAGGAGAAGTGAACCGTGCTTTCTGGCTGGTAGTGTGGCTTATTTTCTTCTTTCTTTTCTCCTTTTCTCTCGAAGATCAAAGGCCTAATTTTAGAACAAGCCCTATTTATGGACTGCTCAGCTACTCTGTCTGCTTTACTCTTGTTCTAGAATAGTGGAAAATAAATAGAGCTGGCGGGATCTCCCAGTGTCCAGAGCTCATCCCTGATTCAAGGCGGGAAGGAGGGGGTGTAAAAAAAAGAAAAAGACCTTTTCTCGCAGAGGTTCTGTATAATTTGTCTCTGCAGAGGGAGTTCCCCTCCCTCAGCTCTTTCAGTCTTTCCTCGTGATCAGAGGCTGAAAAAATGTGACCTGTGAGTGCTCCTGATGTTGAGCAGAGCTAACTCCTGATCCGTGCCTTGAGGTGCCAGAGCTGCCAGGACTGGGCAGAGGCCTCTTCCCGAGGCTGGTGCTGAGGATGGAGTTGAGTGTTGTGTTGTGTGTGGATTATACTCCTGTATGTGCACCCACCACGGGGATCAGTTGTACTTCTTTTTTACAATAGCAGGAGATTGTTGGGTCCACTCTAGGCTGGGAATTGTTGTAGTCAGACATCCTTTTCTGCTGACTGGCTGCCTCTGCCCCGCTCTGGATCTCCAGACCTAATTTTCTACTGCTCAGTAGTTCTTTGTGTTTCCTCACATTATTTGGCGCTCCCCTCCCCCCTTTTTCCCCCTGCTGTTTTTCTAATCTTATCAAAATAATTTTTAATTGTTAACTTGTTCTGTAAAATTTTGGGTGACAGTTGTCTGCCAGTGCAGTAAGTGTGCTCAGTCCAGCTGAGCAGTAACACGAGGGAAACACACCGTGTGTAGGTGCACTTTGGGAGCCAGCCTCTAATTACCCCATGAGAATGCCTTTTGGGTTTTTTCCTCTCTCTCCTTTGTGTCAGCATTTCAGCCAGTTCCCTTTCGATGAGGTTTCCATAGTTCATATCACTCGATACAATGACAAAATCCTGGAAACACTTGCGTATTCAGGATGAACTTTTGAGAGTAATGGTTAAAGACTGTGTCAAATTCTGGTGGTGTGAGGAAGCTGCTCTCGCTGCAGGATCTCTGTGCTGCCAGTTAAAGGCACCTCTCCAGTGAGGCAGCGTGACACCCACACTGCTGGCTGCCAGGCCAGTCTGCCCCCTCCCCAGCTTTTGCAGCACTGAGGATCTTCATCGGTCTGAAACTTTGTCTTCAGGAGGGGTAGAGAGTAAGTAACCCGTCCCCAAGCTCTGTGCCGGGAATTGCACCAGGAGCTATTCCAGCTGGGGGCAGGGATCTGTGTGTCTCCTTTACAGCTGAAGCCTAATTGGTAAAAAGCTGCAGATAAGGGTGCGCTGTGCAGAACTGGAGTGGAGTTCATTCATGCAGAAGAGCCTGTCTCGCAAATGGGAGCGCTGAGCAGAGGGAAGAAACCTCCTCAAATCCCGTGTAACTCCTGATTCCCGGCAGTGCTTTGCTGGAGGCTGCTGTGGTGGGAGCCAGGCAGCCCCTGAGTGAAGCGGGGCTGCTGCGTAGCAACTGCATTGCCAAGTGGTAACAATTCCCAAGTGGGGCAGTAACAAAATCGATTTTTCTCCCCTTCAGCTTGGCAGCTCTCCAGGTGCCTGCTCTGGCACAATGAAGTGTGTAGCTGGGGAGGGAGGGACTTTGGGTTGATGGGGGGGTGATACAGGGAGACAGAAGTTTAACCACTGAACCGATCACACTGGATGGATTTATTTCTGGACTCAGTTTCCCAGGAACTCCACTGTTCCACCCTGGGGGAAATGGCTCAGCTGAAGTCCCTCTAGCTCCAGCTTCGTGAGTAAAGACCTGTGGCATTGGAGTTAATCACAGCAGCTCTGTCACTACTGACTCATCCATCTGCTCCAAGACAATGTTTGCCGTCCACTTGCTGGCTTTCCATTTCACAAAGCTAAAAGAGGATCAAATAAAAAAGGTAAGATGCAGCATCAGCTGATTCCTATTTTGAGAACTGTTACCCAGATAGGGAGGGGGCTGCAGTATATAATGCATTCCAGATAATGGCATTATCTACTAAAGCCATGCAGCCAGATGGGGTAAGAAGTGTTTAAACCCTAAACCACCTGACGAGTGTGAAAATAGGTCTGGTAGGTGCTTTCCCCTGCAAAGCTGTAAGTGCTTCTCCAGGAATGGAGCAAATGATCCTCAGTGAGGAGAAGTGCTTAAACTTTCACTGGCGTGGGGTGGTGTAGTCCAGAGGGCAGAAAGGAACCTCTTGCTTTGTAAGTGCAGCAGGAAGGATGGGATTTCTCAAGCTGAGTAGGAATCAAGAGTCAGTCACATTGTAGCAGGCATAGGGAAGATTCCTGGAGTCTTTGAGCCAGGTCTGCTGGGACTTAGGGGACATTTCCAACTGGTATAGGTGTGGGAGAAGTGCCTGGGCTTCCTCTCGGGTTGTCCAAACGTGGCTAATCACTGATGTTTATAGATGTGACCTTTAATTACAGTTGGAAAAGCTTGAGATGGCCCAGATCTGAAGCCATCAGAGTGAGCTGCCTAATGCTGCTCTTCCCCTAATCTACTTTCATGGCCACGCTGGAATGGGTTTTGGGATCAGGTCCATCCTGAGACCACGTGGGACCTGTAAGCTTCGTGGCTCAGAGGTCCTCTGGTTTCTGGACATGTCCCCTGCGGCTCCTCTGTGCTGCTGGTGTCTCCCTTGAGTGCTGCCATTGCTGCCAGGCTCTGTCCTGGTTTTGCAGCTGGAGGTGGGGCTGTCTGCAGATGCGTGGCAGGAGATCCAAGGTGCTGGTGTGTGCACCGCTGAGCTCACCAGCAAAGCCAGCAACACGGGGTTCTCTTCTCTGTGCCCTAAACAAGCGGTGGCTTGTTCTTCGGAGGGCTTCTTCCACTGGTTGTGCTGTGGAGAGAGGCATTCCAAGAAAGGCAGTGGTATCTCAGCAGTCAGGTGTCTTCAACTCAGTCACAGCCCTTTTGTCCCTAGGATTTAATGTGAGCAGAAAAGGGCCCCAATGCCCCTTTCTTGTGTGGAGGAGCTGGTCTAAGGCCTCTAATCCAGACAGTGCTAGTTCTTGTTACTTTTTCCTGAGAGAAGAGACCTTGTGGAGCAGTGCTTGGGTGGAGAGGGCTCTTCAGAGAAACATCCAGAGTGGAGCTGAGGGAGGACAGTGGAAAAGAGAGGGCAGAGGAATTCTGGCAAAACCAGGAATTGAGTCTTTCTGCTAGGAGCAAAGTAGCCCTTCCTGAAGGCAAGAAACCACATGCTCCTTAGACTTCTCTTTCAAGGAGCCTAGGGAAGGCTGTAGGGAGCAGAGGTGATTTCTCCCTAATTAGAAAGAAGGAATGCCTTCCCACCTCTCCCTCCCCGGCTTATTTACTCTGTGGTGGCAAACCCAAAGCCTCTGTGCCATGAAAACAGTGCTGCTTTTCTGTAATTCAGGCAAAGCTCTGTTCTTGTGCCATGGGAGAGAGGCAGTGAGTATGCTGTTGCACAGCCTGGCCATTCCTGTGTGATGTGGTATGTGAGCAGGGCCTTGCTCTGGTGGATAATCAGGCTGGCTTTCCTGGGCTCTGTCTTATCTAGTTCCTTGGAGAGGACTATCTGCTCCTATAATTGTAGGTAAACAGGGTGGGGAATGCAATTGCTGTGGGGAGCAGGGAGCCTGTGCATGTTCTCTGCAAACAGACCTAACAGATTTTATTACTCTTGAGGTTTTTTTCCACAGGGACTTATGTCACAAAGTTATTTGGGTCTGTGTCAGTGTGTGAGTGCTGTGTGTCTCCAGGCATTGCATTCTCTCCAAGAAAGCAGTATGGGTATGTGGGCTGAGGTGATGGATCCTGCACAGTGATGGGACCTCAAAAAACCCTTGGAGGAAATCAAGTGCACGTGCAAACCAGGGCTACAAAAACAAATCTAAATAATGGCCTTTTCAAGGCACAGCTGTATCCAAAGGCAGCTGCTGCTCTTGGACAATTGCATCTTGTAGTTTAACACTTCCTCCTCTGTGTGTGTTAGGTAAGTGCTGGAGTCACTTTCAGGGTCCTGGTTCTTTCAGGTGGGTCACTGCTGATCATCAGTTTAAAATGGGACTGTGAATAGGTAACTTGTTTGTGCCTCATTAAAATAGGTGGCCCGTCCAAATTTCAGCAGAGGCCAATTTATCTGCAACCTGCAGTCCCCTCTGTTTAAACAATGCAGCTTTTTTAATCCTGCCTTGTTGCTGACGGGACTTGATTTTTGCCTGTTCTTCCAGCCCTCCAGACCTCTCTTTATGTAAGTGGGACTGAAGAAATGCTCTGAAGAGATAAAGCACCATAACAACATAGCCCATGGTGCAAGAACTGAGTGTCCGTGTTAGCAAAGTGCTGGGGACTGTCCCCCCCTCTCTCCCCTGTCCCCTGGGCCTGAGGTTCATGTCATGGGGAGTGGGATGTGAAAGGGAATTACCCTTCAGGGAACATCCAGCTGTTTGGAGGACACAATTATTATCCCTGCATCATTTTCATACAGCACCAAACTCTGGCTCCCCAGTGGAAAAGCTTCTGGTTGTTGACAGATTGTTGTTTTGCTGTGTTAATCCTCTGTTGTACCCAGTTTCTAAGCCACATTACTTACAGCCTTGCAGGTAAATGTCAGTCCCAGCAGCATGTGCTCCTGAAGCAGAAAACCTGTAATTTTGCCCTGATGAAGCTGTACATAAACACTGATTAGCTTTTCTGCCAGTTTATCAGAATAAGCTACTTCGCAGATGCTTTTGATTCCGTTTAAATTTAACTGGCTTTTGTTTTGATATATGCTGTGAGTTACAGACCCTTAAGTAAAGGTACTGATTGCACCCACAAAAAGGGGTTTTAGATGTAATTCTAGAATCACAAGAGAATGGAGGCTAGAGCTGGAACGAGAAACAAGCTTTGAGCTCCAGCCTGGCATTCCAACGAAGTTAATTGGCTGTGGAGTGAAGCAGTAGCTGAATAGATGTTTTTGGGTTGTGGCTGACACGCTTGGGTACTGATGGCATTTTCTGGACCTGCCTCAGAGAGGTCAGATTCTCAGCAGCTCGAGATACTTTGCATTCTAGTTCATGAGACGTATAGGAGGAGAGGATGGTGTAAAAGCAGCTTGTCAGGGTCTCAGGAAAGTCTCACGGGCTTATGTAGGTTGGCAAGTTACTGAGCCATCAAGAAAAGATGGCCAGCTTTTGGAGAGTAATTCACCAAGGCTGCATTAAATGTTGTCAAAACAAAGGTTTTAGAACAGTAAACGTTGTGATGATGCCCTGGAGCTTTCTTGCACTGACAGTTGCGGTGCTGAGGTCAGAAATGAACCGAACAACTGGCACTTGCTGAGCACTGAGGACCTGTTTGCTCCCGAGTGACGCCTTTGCTGTTTGCAGGTTGACAGGTACCTGTATCCCCTGCGGCTCTCCGATGATGTCCTGCTGGACGTGATGGCTCGTTTCCAGGCTGAGATGGTGAAGGGGCTGGGCCGGGACACAAACCCCACGGCGACGGTGAAGATGCTGCCGTCGTTCGTGCGCTCGCTCCCCGACGGCTCCGGTGAGTTCCGCCTGCCCCAGCTCCGCAGGGCTGGGCCAGGAACGGGATGGGCTGCTGCCAGTCCTCCAGGACAGCACAGCAGAGGCACAGGGCCCCAGTGCCTTTGGGTGTCTCACTGAGAAAGCAGGTGTATATTGAGAAGACAGCAGCCTCTGGCTTGGAGTTTTTTCCATGCAGCAGGTGGATCTTGAGCCAGCGCTGCTTGTTTGAGGAAAGGACCTCCTTAGCGCTATGGAACAAACAGCCTGTCCCATCTGTTCCTGCTGCAGGCCTTGCTGCAGGAGTTGTGGCTGGACATGGCAAGGGCAGCCTCTACAGTCCAGAGGCTGCAGTGCAGTGTGCTGCTCCTGTGGGATGTGGCCCGGCCTTCTTGGAGCTACGGGGAGGGCAGGATGCTGCAGAGAAACCCCTCCAACTGCCACGTGACAGCGACGGTTGCGTTCTCAGACCTGTCATCCCCTCCTGACTCCCCACAGCAAAACCTACTCTTCTTTGTCTAATGCCCCAGAAAGTGATCCCCTCCTGCCCTTCCTTGCCTTCTGCATTAGGAAAATCTGCTTCTGGATGGGGTCTACCAGGAAACCATCTGCTCTCTTTCTTCAGCTGGATCCTTGTTTCCAGTTGCTCCTGAGACTTAAATAGAGAGGGAGTGCAGTGGTGTCCTGTGGGAGGATGTGAGGTCAGGTAGGATCTAAAAGCCCATCTTGATTGGAGGAGTGTGCACATCCAAAATAACTCTCCTGGCTCAGCTGGCTCCTGGCAGTGAAGGCTGACAGAAAATTAGGTTTTTCCCAGGTATAACCAAGCGAATTTGTACAGGACTCAGTGTCTGGCCTTGGACAGGACTTGGCATATTCCAGCTGTGCAGAAACCTGAAGAGAAGTGTTTGCTTTGTACCTCATTTCCACAGGACTTATTTCTTCTGAAGTTAATTTCCCTGCATTTAAATGAGAAATAACGGCTTTAGTGGCATAAAGGGAATGTTTGGAGAGAAATCCCTTGAAATGAGGCACATCTGAGAGGAATTATATACACTGCCTGGATGGAAGTGGGCTCTCTTCCTTCTGCTACTGCCTTCATCAAAGAGAAAACTTCCAGTGGGTTTCAACACCTCGGGCTTGGATGGATTTTTTCCATTTGCAATAGAAACAAACTTTCAGATTTTTCTGAGAGACCCAATTTGCCTCCTCACCTTAGTGATAGCTGACCATGGTATTACAGGTAGAATTTCCTGTTTTTTTTCCCTTTCAGGGCCAGATTTGATAAAATTTAGTCAGGTGTTTGGACTGTGGAAAAAAGATCATGCAAGATTAGGCACATGCCACTGCATTTTCCTTTTGGGAAGGGCCTTCTCCTGTGTGTGGGATAAGTAATTGTTTTATTGTAGCAGTGAGGCCAACCTGTCCTTCCGTCTGAGGTCTCCTGCTGGAGAAGCATGTGTTTGAGCTAAGACTGTGAAACAAAATGGTACTTTGACAGACACACCTAAAGGCATTTGAAAAAGATTGTGTTGGTTGACTTTGGGTGGCAAATTAGTCTTACCCCTCTTGGAAGTTGACTTCTGCACTAAGGCTGAGTCTTAACCCGTGACTGCAAATCCTGCATCCTTTACTGGGTGCAGGTAATGATCTCCCCCTGATTCTCCCACATTTCAGTGGTGGACTTGCAGCCCCATGTGCTCTGCTTGGGTTTGCGCTTGCTTTGGGTCTTTCTTGCTGAGAAGCTCATCCTTCTGCAGCTTGAAAACATGCTGCTACGGAAGGAGCAGGGTGGACAAAGCCAGGCTGCTAAATAAAAGTTGAATTAGCTGTCACATAACAAGCTTACAGGAGGGACCTGGCACCCTTGCTTAGGGCTTCCTGCTCTCAGCCTTCCCAGTGGTGTTGCCGGGCCCATGGGATAAGAATCTGCTGTGATGGGGTAGGAGAGCCTGTGGTGAGGGAGGGCCCTGGGCTGTACCTTCAGTGTGGCACCTGAGCCATCCCCGGTGATGGTGCCCGTTTGTGTTGCAGAGAAGGGGGAATTCCTCGCCGTGGACCTGGGTGGCTCCCAGTTCCGTGCCCACCAGGTGAAGGTGTTCGATGACGGGAGGCAGAGCAGCCAGCTGGAGAGCAAGTTCTACCCCACACCCAAGGAGGCCACCCAGGGGAACGGCGCCGAGGTAGGGCACTGATGTGGGGCTGCTCTGCTCGACACAGCCTGCAGGACACAGCCTGACCCTGAACACTCCTCTCTTGTGCAGCTCTTTGATTATGTCGCTGACTGTCTGTTAGACTTCATGGAGACCAAAAACCTGAAGCATAAGAAGTTACCTCTTGGCTTTACATTTTCTTTTCCGTGCAAGCAGACCAAATTGGAAGAGGTAAGATGCATTAAAAACTACTGCTGGCAAGCTGAGCTCCTTGCAGGATCTGCAGAAGCTGCTGAATGGATGTGTTACCCTGGGGCTTTCTTGTGGGATCATGTTTACACTGCCCTCTGAAGAAGGCATGGATTAGCATTAGCATTTAACTAGACTACCTTTCAAACACTCATTTCTGATCTCAGGGCAACATGATCTTGAAGCTAAAACTGTTCTATTACTTAATCACTACCCAATTCACAGGAACCACGTGCCCTTTTATGAACAATATTAGACTATAAAACACATAGTTCTGTGTCCTGAGGCATCTTTATTTTTTTAACCACTCTCCATTTTTTTATTAACAGTAGCTGGAGCTTTGGAGGGACCTCATGGAGAAATGAAGGGCTGTTTGCAATTATTTTGTGTTCTCTCATTCTAGCCTCTCTTATTCCTAGGGATCTGTGCTTTGGGTCCCAGTCCTGCAAATGCTTTGTGTTTAATGCTATTACTTTGTGATGAGCATCAGGAAAGCTGCACATGCTTTACATAAAGCACAGGGAGAAGCATTTGCAGGATTGGGGCTTTATGACTGTGCCTGTTTAGTTGTGTTGTCATTGACAGGCACCCCAAGGTCAGATGTTGACCCAGTTTTAACATGTGGAGAGACACAGTGGGCTTTGGTCTTGGCTGGCTTTGTGGCAGGTTTTTGTGCTAAAGCTGGAGCTTTTGGGTCACCGCACCATTACTTTTCAGGGGGTTCTTCTTGCCTGGACAAAGCACTTCAAGGTCCGAGGGGTTCAGGACACAGACGTGGTCACCTCCCTGCGCAGGGCCCTGCAGAAGCATAAGGCAAGTGTAATTTTTAAGATCAGCAGTAAGACATGATTAAATCTGCCCTTGGACTAGTGTATACTTTAAATAACACTATGTTTTAATATTTTGGAAAGCCTTGTTTTTCGTTTTTGGTGCTACTGGTAACACCATCTGAGAAATAAAAAGCATCTTTCCATATCTTCATGACTTTGTGGCAAAGAGGAAATTCTGTTTTCTCACGTGGTAAAAATCCAACCTTGATTTTGGTTCACTTCTTTTTCTGCATCAGCCTCGTAGTTCATCAGTAACAAAGGATCTGAGACTTGTGGGTGAAGTGTGGGCTCCTGCCAGTGCTGATATCTGAGTGACAGCACTCCTTTGATAAGTGGGAAAGGAAAACTGCACAGCCTTGATGGAAAGGCTCTTTACCTGAGTGTGATATTGGTCCTGGCTGCATTCATGGCTGTATGTTTTCTGTCCCATGTGGTGGGATCTGCTCAGGTGGTCAGGCATTATCCTTTCACACAACCTTGTAGGCACAGGATCACAACATTCAAACCAATAACGTGTTGCTTTTCTGGCAAATGCGGTTGTGTTGGGGAAAAACAAATTCTTCAAACAAAAACCCTGGCTGGCCAAGCACTTGAGAATTCAGAGGTATTTGTTGTTTTACAGGGTTGTGGGGATAGTGTTATAAAAGGAAGTCATGTGTCGTCCTACCAAGGAGCTTTCTGGCCTACAAAGTGCAGCCCAGGAAGTATGTCTGCATGCTGGTGCTTCTTTCAGCTTTCTTCCCTGTTAATCACCTCTCTTTATGCTCTTAGGACATAGATGTTGATGTTTTGGCACTGGTCAATGACACTGTGGGAACCATGATGACCTGTGGGTATGATGACCAGCGCTGTGAAGTTGGACTCATAATTGGTAATTTTTTCTGTTCACTGAGTAGGGTTTTTTTGCCCTCAGTTGTTGAATTCTAACAAATCTGGAGTAGAAGGGAGTTTCCCAGTACAGGAAAGAGCAGAAAGAAAATGGAAAAAACAATGGTTAGATTTTTCAAGCCTGGCTGCCTTCTGTAAAGCAGCTGTTTTTATGCTGATCACATTGCCATCAAATGCCACAGTCCCCATTTTGTCTGGGTTCAGTTGTGACCAGCATACTAAACTTTTCTGCTGACTGTATAGAAAATGACTGTGTGTCTGTCCAGAAAGAAATTCCTCTCACGTCTGGTAGTTAGAATCAGCTACACTTTCTGTAGTTTCTCCATGGAAGAACATGGAAGTACATTTGAAAAAAAAAGAAAAAAAAAAAGAAAAAAAAAGTTTTTAAACAAGCCAAGCCTTGGAATAATTTCCCTGTTTTTTCTCTCACTGTGAAATGATGATTTTACAAGTGTAGGTGGCCTGTATTAGAATCCTGTACCACAGGGTTTCGGGTTTGTACTTTCTTCCAAAGGCAGTACACTGGCTTATTCCCAAACACGTGGACTTAAAAATGAGCAAAAAGCAGACCTGGAACAAAGAGTGATTTCTCTGCACTGTCTCTGACGCCCCCAGGCACCGGCACCAACGCGTGTTACATGGAGGAGATGCGGCACATCGAGCTGGTGGAGGGGGACGAGGGCAGGATGTGCATCAACACCGAGTGGGGGGCCTTTGGGGATGACGGCGCTCTGGACGATCTCCGCACCGAGTTCGATCGGGAGCTCGATCTGGGATCTCTCAATCCCGGGAAACAACTGTAAGTGATTCCCTGACTGACTCGCAGTCCAGGTGCATTTCTAGCCTATGCCAAGAGTCCCTTTGGATCAGGAATTGTTTCAGTGAACTTGAGTTAACTTAGTCCTGTCTTATCCAGACCTGTCTGGGAAGGGTGGGTACCTCTCACACCTCTCTGCCTCAGGCCAAGGGATGCTGCTGTGGTGGCTCATGTGTTGTCAAAAATAGGTGATTGCTCTGGTATAATGCTGTGGAGGAATAAAGAGGAGCTGGTGAAGACCTCTAATCCCTCCTGTGCCCCATTCCAGGTTTGAGAAGATGATCAGCAGCCTGTATTTGGGAGAACTTGTAAGACTCATTCTCCTAAAAATGACAAAGGAAGGCCTGCTCTTCAACGGGAAAGTGTCAACAGCTCTGCTTACCAAGGGCAAGATTGAAATGAAACACGTGTCTGCGATGGAAAAGTAAGAACCTGCAATATGATCTTTGAGAGAAGCCACTCTCAATGTTAGTCTTTCACATGCACAGCTATAATAATGAATGTGTAATTATAATCTGTCAGTGCTGGGAACAATCCTGAAGTGTTCAACTCGCTTTTGTTTTTGCCTAGGAGAAAATTTGACCTTTCTGTAAGTGGGAATTGGTGTAAGATAAAGTTTTAGCAAAGTACCAGAGTAGAAAATGTATTGCTGAGCATCACAGAGGCAGGTTGTTTGAATAACCTCTTTGGAGACCTGAAGACATGGTTGCAGTTTTCGGCTTCTCTGATGTGGGAACACTGAGGTTGTGGAGGTGTAGTACAAACTCGGGATCAGCTAATGAATGACTACATGGAAAACTCCTGGATTCTGGTGTTTTGAAGAGGAATCCTGGTCCTTGTTGTCATTCTGGGAAGGATTTTCTTTGTTGTCTTGAGCGAAGCTGTGTGTCCATTCCTGTGCTCCCCTTCTGTGAACTATTTTATCCCGTTTTCTGCTTGGCTAAATAATGAGCAAGTCTCACCAAAAGCTGAACCCCAGGAAGCAGCCTCCTAAAAGTCTGGTCTCTCCCCTGGGTACTTTTGGGAATAGTGTGGGAGAGACCCTACTGGCTTATGGGAACCGATTATGGTGCTGCCTCGTCGGTGGTCCTGGTCTTCTCTTATTTCTCTTTGAGCCAACGTGCAGCCATTGCTTTATGCGTTACCTTTGCATTCGCTGCTGCATTCTTTTGTTTTGGGGGTAGGTACAAGGAAGGGCTGAGCAACACGAAGGAGATCCTGACAGAGCTGAGCCTGTGTCCCTCTGAGGAGGACTGTGTTGCTGTTCAGCACGTGTGCACCATCGTGTCCTTCCGCTCGGCCAACCTGTGTGCTGCCGCCCTGGCCGCCATCCTGACCCGCCTGAGGGAGAACAAAAAGCTGCTACGGATGCGAACAACTGTCGGGATTGATGGGGGGCTCTACAAAACCCACCCCCAGTGAGTAGCCAAAAGGGGGTTGGTAATTGCTGGACACGTGTTCACGTTGCAAAGAGTCTCCGTCTGCATGTGTGTGTGGCTTTTGAGGGAACTGCTGGTTTTGCTGCAGGTTTGGGGTGAGATCTGACTGGCTTAGTTACTGCAAAGCTGTCTCAGGAGCTTTGGAATTTGGAGTGGGGTGGGAAAAACATGACACTTGGAATAATGGTGTCTGGGGAAGTGCAGCTGGTTTCTCAAGTGACTCCTGGGCCTCCAGAGCACTTGCAGTTCACTGTGGATTTTTAATTTTCTTTTGTTCTACCCCCCTCCCCCCACCTCCCTGTTCTTAAACCTGTGCTTTCCCAAACTGGAAACTTGCTCAAATATTTCTCCCAAACTGGATGGAGGTCTGATTCCAGCTGGAGATTCACACCCTCTGTGACCATTGCCTGGCTTCTCTCCAGTGTCCCTATCCCTTGGCACTCACACTTGTTGAGAGGTATCTTCACTTTCCTGTAAGTGTTCAGGTTCTGCAGAACAGCCAGAAATCAGGATCGTTGTTCCCACCTCCTGGAGCAGTTTCTGACCTTGTGCTCCTCTTGCCCGTGCTGCAGCCCTTGTGCTGTTGGGGGGATGCGTGTGTGAAGTAAACCGTGCCCGAGATGCCTGTGAGGGTCTGAAGGGGCTCTCTGTCCCTGGCAGATACGCCAAGCGCCTGCACAAGGTGGTGAGGAGGCTGGTCCCGACCTGCGACGTGCGGTTCCTGCTGTCGGTGAGCGGCAGCGGGAAGGGGGCTGCCATGGTCACGGCCGTGGCACACAGACTGGCTGCCCAGCGCGGCCGCATCGATGCCACCCTCGCCCCCTTCCTCCTGTCCCTGGGGACCCTCAGAGAAGTCAGGAACAAAATGAGGGCTGAGCTGGAATACGGGCTGAAGCGAGAGACACAAGCTGATGCCAGCGTGAAGATGCTGCCCACGTACGTCTGTGGGACACCAGATGGGACAGGTGAAGTTATTTCCTGGTCACCTGGAAGTGGTTCAGGAAAACTCCTTGTCTGTTTTCTGGGGGAAGGGAATAGGACACTCTGGAAAATGCCAGGGGTATTTATGTTGTTAAATCAGAGTTTCCTGTGATGTTACTTGGCTGTCCCTTCAGCCCCGCACGAGCGCTCAATGGGACAAGTGCCATAGGGAGCAGTGTGCTCGCTTTGACATGGATGTCTTGGGGATGTGTGGCAGAGTGTGCCATTCTGACTGGCAGACATGTTACCATGAGAAGCACCAGAATTAAATACCTTTCTCCTCCTGCAGAGAAAGGAAAGTTCCTTGCCCTTGATCTCGGTGGCACGAATTTCAGGGTCCTGCTGGTCAAAATCAAAAGCGGGAGAAGAAGATCAGTGCAAATGTACAACAAAATCTTTGCCATTCCTTTGGAGATCATGCAAGGGACAGGGGAAGAGGTAATCTCGAATGGATGTTTAGTTGATCCAGCCAGGGCCCGTTGTGTGGGATTACTTGTGAGATTTACAGGCTTTTGCTTTCCTTCCAGCTCTTTGACCATATTGTCCAGTGCATAGCAGACTTTCTGGAGTACATGGGCATTAAAGGTGCTCGGCTGCCCCTGGGCTTCACCTTCTCCTTCCCGTGCAGGCAAGCCAGCATTGACAAGGTGAGAGCTGCAGGACACAGTGGCTCAGATGGCAGCTGTGCAGCTGCCTGGTGAATGACAGCGATTTGGACAAGGGTGGACTCGTTCGTTCGGGGACTCATTTGCTCTACTGTGCAAACTAGTTGTGTTTGAGACACGACTCAGTGAGACAGTTATCATCCTGTGTGGATATGGGAGGTGGAACTTTACCTTCCTGTATCTGGTAAGAGGTGGATGTCACTTGCTTTTATTCTATAAAGATTAGGCCCTCATGACAGCGAAATGAACTGCGTGTTTTTAATAGCCCAGGGATCTCCTTATGCTGCCTTAAGTCTTCAGTGGCAAGAGATAACAGGTGCTTTTTTCTGATTGTTCAGCCATAATCCCAGAGTGTTTTCCAAACCACGCTGCACAGCTCTGACTGTACAACTTCTGCACTAAATTAGTTTCTTCTTGTTGAGTGTCAGTGGACAGACCTGACTTGGCTTTTGGACAGATGGATCTTCATCTTTTCAGACCTCATGGAAGAAAAGATTATTTTGATGCATTTCCAAAGAGGGACAGGAGATGATGTGCTTAGTTCCAGCCAAATATGTGGGATATTGGGGAAATGAGGGACTGCTATTTCACTAAATGTTTTTTATCTCCTGGTGGGTTTCACAGTAGCTTCTAAGCTTGTAAGTTAGTCTGTTCTGTCTAAATTTTCAGCTCACAGTCAAGAATATAGCAATAGGACTTGGCCTTTTGTGGAAACATGAATCCATATGCCTTCCAAACCTACAGCATAGTATTAGGTCTTGACAAATAAATAGGAAACAAATTCCACAGTATTGGTGGCAAAGTGAGGGAGAGACAACTGTGTCAGGGTCTCACAATGTGTAGCCCTGTGTTCTTGGTCTTTTCTGTTGCCAGAACTTGAGGGTGGTTTTTAAGAGCAGCTTTTTCTCCCAGTTGCCTTCTGTCTTCTTTTTCTTATTTGGACAGACAGTCCAGAGGCAGTTTCCAAGTGGAAGGCTAATTTCTTCATGTAACCTGGAAATCAACCTCTGTCAGGCCAGGTTGCTGTCCAAAAAGAAACAGTCAGTGTTGCCTGGAGTTGTAGAATCACACCAACTGTCCTTCAGTACATGAGCCAAAAATTAACAGTAGATGTTCATTAATGTATTTTTTGCAGTCTTTCCCTGACAGATAATACAATGGCTATGGTTTTCTTTCTCTTTCTCTTCTGTTTCAGGGAACACTTTTGGGATGGACAAAAGGATTCAAGGCAACAGACTGTGAGGGGGAAGATGTTGTTGACATGCTGAGAGAGGCCATCAGGAGAAGAAATGTGAGCTCTTCTTTTCTGCTCTTTTTGGTGTATTTAATGCCCCCTCACTCTTCCTCTGGTATTCCACTACTGACTGTGACTTGTGTTTTAGGAGTTTGACTTGGACATCGTGGCAGTGGTGAACGACACCGTTGGGACCATGATGACGTGTGGATATGAGGATCCAAACTGTGAGATTGGCCTTATTGCAGGTACAGTGATGTTGAAGTGACCACCATGAGAGGCAAGCACATATGCAGGTGCCAGGCTTTGGAATCTGTAAAACCAGCATCTTTCGTTTGCGTTTGGTACGTGGTGTTACCGGTCACTTGGGGCTCTTGGCAGATTTGGGGGGTATTTGGTAGGAGACATAACACCTGTAGCAGGTAGGATCCTGAATCTGTTGGACTTTTGATGGTGCCTAACAGGTGTATGCAGGCTAAAAGAACATGAGAACAGCAGATAGAGCATGAGTTCTTGTCTTGACAAGTGTATTGATATTTACTGTGTAGCCAGGTCATAGAGCTTGGAACAAGCAAATGTCCTTAAAAATCTGAATGAACTCTTTTGAGGCTTTCTAGAAGATTCCCCCTATAGGTTCCTCCAAGTTTTGATCCAGAAGTGTGCCTAAGGATAGAATCATAGAATGGCCTGGGCTCTTGGCAGCGCTTGCCCTTGGGAGCACATGGATGATGATGAGCAAGATGATTTGTGGTGCATTATGACCAAACTGGCAGCAATGACTGATCAGTGCTTCACTGCCAGAGCCATTTCTGACCTGCAGCAAAGGGCCTTCACTCCTTTATGCTGTGGATTTTTTGTGCAGGGCCTGTCTTACCTGGTAACATTCTGCTGGGATGAATTAAAGCACTCTTCCCATCTCTGGCTAGCACTTGCTTCTGTAAGATAAAGGAGAAATCTTTGAAATTTAGAGAACTTTAACATGACCACTGCAATCTTCCTCCATGAGTTTCAGGTGCTGCTTCACTTTTCTGGCTGAAGCCTTGTCATGTCTGTCCTTCTAGGAACAGGCAGCAACGTGTGCTACATGGAGGACATGAAAAACATAGAAATAGTGGAAGGGAACGAAGGAAAAATGTGCATTAACACGGAATGGGGAGCGTTTGGTGACAACGGCTGCATTGACAACATCAGGACAAAATATGATAAAGAAGTAGATGAAGGCTCACTAAACCCAGGCAAACAGAGGTAAATGTGATGGTTCTGATGCCAAGAGGCTGGTGAAGTCAGTCTTCAAGAGACACTGGGTGGTTTTTAGAATGTGCTTAATGAATGAATAATCAAAGAGGAAATGTTAATATTGCATGTCTTGTGCTGCATGGTAAGTAACCTGAATATCCAGAAAAAAACCTTGTTTGTGTTATCACAGCACTGTTCTCATCTTAGGGCAGTTATCAAACAATGCAGCTTTTAAGATTTCCCTGCAAAGTCTAGATCATGCTTTGTTCCTTCCCTTAGGGTGATTTTTCAAAGGTAAAATACAACTCAAGCAAGAGGATAAGCTGAACTTGACTATTCTTTGTGCAGTAAGGACAGTATTGATCAGGTGTGACTCACTGGGGAATGCAGTGAGGAGACAGGGAAGTGTTTCACCTCAGTGTGAACTCTGCCTTTAACACTATGTTCTGTTTATTATTGCAAGGGATTTTTTTTCTATTTCTATTTTTTTCTTTTTTTCGTCTATTTCTTTTCCATTTGGCTTAGGTAAATATATTGTAATTAGCGTTTGCACTTGAAGTCACTGCAACAGAGTTTTGCTGATTGAAAGGTGGATTTCAATGGCTATTGCTCTGCAAACTTGGGCTGCTCTTTTGGGAGTTCATAGGGCATGTACATACCACTCATGCTGAACAAAACTAACATGCCATCTCTTTAAATGCACCTTTTTTTTTTCCTTTTGTAACTCAACAGGTATGAAAAAATGACCAGTGGAATGTACCTTGGTGAAATAGTAAGGCAAATTTTGATCGACTTAACCAAACAAGGGCTGCTGTTCAGAGGACACATTTCGGAGTCACTCAGGAAAAGAGGCATATTTGAAACAAAATTCCTGTCTCAGATTGAGAGGTAAGGTTGTTATATTTACATGGTTTAAGGAATTAAGGCCTTTTGGGACCCTTAGGAAACAAGTGTGTGGAGCCCTTTCCTTCAAGAGGTTAATTACCATGTTCTTCTTTGCATACCTCCCTCCTCCCCATCCCCACAAGAAAAGCCAAAAATGAAGAACTGGGGGAGTCCCAGACTTTTTCTGGAATGACGTGAGTTATCGTTTCCTGTCCACACAACTGGGTTATCTTGAGTGCCTTAACTACCAAGCGTGATTATACTTGGAGTGTTTCTTGGGGGACTTAAAACAGTAGTTATCAAAAAAAGTAAGAAGTCGGTGATAGATGAAGATGCGCTTGCCTACATTGCATGTTTGCAATGGTCTTCAGGCCCTTTGAAGCCCTTTCTGCTGTGGAAAGCCCTTGAAAGGAGTGTCTCAGCCTTGAGATCAAAAATGACACAGTCAGGTGGCTGATCTGGCTCAGCTGCCTCACGACTTTGGGAGTTAGATGAAGAATTACTGTTTGTGCCTCCTGGAAATACAGTCTGACATGGCAAAGGGCATGGCAGGAGCAGCTTTCAGCCTGAATTGAAGCTTTCCCTAATGCCTTGCCGCTCCACATGCTTCCCTCTGCACAGTGACCGGCTCGCCCTGCTCCAGGTGCGGCGGATCCTGCAGCAGCTGGGCCTGGACAGCACGTGTGAGGACAGCATCATCGTGAAGGAGGTGTGTGGAGTTGTGTCCCAACGAGCTGCCCGGCTCTGTGGGGCAGGGCTGGCTGCCATCGTGGAGAAGAAGAGGGAGAACCGAGGTGTGGAGCGCTTGCGAATCACCGTTGGAGTAGACGGGACTTTGTACAAGCTCCATCCACAGTGAGTGCCTTGGGACCACTGCCCTTTGCTGTTTGCTCATTTTCATGTGGAAACGTGCCAAGCTGTAGCAGCTTTCTGCTGAGATGATTAAAAAGTGTGAGAGGGGATCATCTAACACGTTTCCTTGCATGCTCTCCTTTCCCTTGCCTAACTAAAGGATCAAAAATTGCAAAGTCAAGTCTAGTTACCGCTGGGAGGCTCTTTCCTCCAGGGTGTTGAGGGAACTTACCCTTCTGGTATTTATTTACCAGTGTTTGGGTGGATTTCAGACCAGAAAGCAGCTGCTAATGCTCCATTCTTCTCTCCCTTTCCATTCAGTTTTTCCAGGGTCCTGCGGGAAACAGTGAAGGAACTGGCACCTCAGTGTGACGTGACCTTCATGCTCTCTGAAGATGGCAGTGGGAAGGGGGCTGCTCTCATCACTGCAGTGGCAAAACGGTTGCATAATGTTGGGCAGAAGTAGAAATGAGTCATTGCAGCGCTGCCAGGCGTGTGCACAGGGATCTGCTGAGTGGTGATTCCAGATAGCTGTGCCAGGCACCAGCACACAGGTACCTGTTTTCAGGGAGCAGCTGCTTATGACTGACCAGGACTGTGGATTTTTGTCCTTGGCTAGCTTGGATCAGGTGTTCCTGCTCCCCACTGGTGTTATTCTTGGCACACCACAGTCTCCTCACCAAGTTCTGTACTTCCTGCAGTGCATCTGTAATGCACACAGGAGAGAACAAACCAATGGACACAATCCACCCCAAATGTGGCTTTTTACAACATCTTAATTAAGCTACTGCACCACAACTGGGTTTATCACCAGCTTCTTAGGATTTGTGTGCTGTAGTTTTGGCTTGGCCTGGCTCGAGGAATGTTGAGATCCTGATTTTGCATCTATCTAGTGGGCATATTTGTTCAGTGCTTCACAGGTTTTACAATAAAATTGAAGGTAAAATAAATCAGTGGGCTTTGGTCAGTGATGCTTCCCCTGCCACTACACTGGTTGCAAGTGTGATGTAATACTTCCTGAGTACAGAGGCATGTTTAATAGATGAATGTAAAGATAAAAATATGATTCTACAGAATATCAGTTTGTGTCAAAATCTGTTAGTGCATCTGAGTGCACATAAAGCTAAACCAGTGCTGGGTGGATTCCCACTGTGGCTGACTCTTTTGATACTGGAGGAAAGAGGGAATGTAGGAAGAAGCAGCTACAGAATCTGCTATGTCTGTGTCAGGGTACATAAAGAGGATCAAACAGGCCACCAAATAGCTGTGTAGAGAGAAACAAAAATCACCTGAATTTCTGAAATTCTTTGTTCTCCCTCTGTTATCTCCTTGCCTGCTCCTGAGAGAATTGTTTCCGTTGTGTGGAAAGGAGTTCATCCCTGGTTTTCATTTTCTGTTGCCTGCTGCTCTGCCTGTGTGTAGACTGTTTGTAAATAAATCTGGGGTGCTGTGAGCTTCTTTGTCTGGTGCCTCTTCTGAGTTGTGGGAAGAACATGCAGGCAAGTGGGAGCTTTCTTAGAACATAAACCTTTAAATCTAAACCTTTCTTTAAACCTAAATGTCTAACAGTGCTCAGCAGCACTGCAGTTATTGTGAAGGTGGTTTGTGGATAGAGCCTTGTGTGACCAAATGTCCCTCACCTGATTTACCCAGAACAAACCAAAGCAATCACAAGCACAGAGAGGCAGCAAATCTGCATCCCGCCTGGCCTCTGTTCTCAAGTATTCCTCTATCTCCCTTAATCCTCTCTTCTTGGATATTTGCTTCCTTCCAGGCTGGCAGCAGAAAGTGGGGCCAAGAAATGTGCTTTAAGCCTAGTTAGGTCAAAAGTAACCGTCGTGCAGAGGGGGGGATCAGCAGTTTTATGTAATAATCTGTAACCAGGCCACCGCCGGGTTTAAATTTAGCAATCGCAGATTCCAAATTGAAAGCTACAGACCCTTCTTGTTTTGTAGTTTTTCCAAAAACAAACAAACCAACCAACCACATGTCAGCAGCTGTGTCTGTGTTGGAGTTACTGGATGGGTGAAAAATAATATTTGGAAATAGTTTTCACTTCTGAAGGTGTGGTGCTGAACTCAGTGTACTAAGCAGCTGGGAAGAGGCAAGTTGTGAATTCATATTACATTTAATGTTTTTCTCCTTTTGTCAAGAAACTTGGTGTTTTTCTTTATATTTCAGAATCCACAGAGCCCCATGTAGCAAGGGCAGTTATTTGGAACGGAAATTTGTTCCTGGTGATGAACAGGTTAAATTTGGAGGGGCTGGGTATAGAAGCAAAAAAAAAAAAAATCAGTCATTGAGGCAAAGGGGACCTAGAACAGCTCTTCTGCATTGACTCTCTCCCTTCAGTACCTGAAATCTTGTACTGCCTGGGTGGGTTTGGAACCTTTTGGTGGAGTGGATTGTGCTAATCTGCAAAAGTGCATCTGTGGATGTTCATTCCTGTATTTCTGGAAGGAGGGGGAGTGGACTTGCCCCAGCATGGCCACGTGAGTATGGTACAAGAGTTCCTTCTGTACTTCTATTCCAAAGCCTGTTCTACACAACTGGGGTGCAAATCAGTAACAAAAGAAGGCAAAACCCTCATGTTTAGAAAGGAGTCCTGTATTGCTTTGATTTTTCTTTTTAGTCTCTTGGGGAAATTAAATATTCACATGGGGCAGTTTACACCTCAGCTGCAGCTGTTCCTTTCCTGCAGTAAATTCAGCCCACACAATAATAATTTTCTGCATGTGCAGTGTTTTTTGTTTTTTTTCCCAGTGAGTCTGTGGGTGTCGTGGAATCCGATCACATGAACCTGGAAGGGCTCACGATGTGCTCAGTGCCCGATGGCTGTTCCGAGGTCCCCGAGGCCCAGGGCACTCGTGCTCCTGCTTTTCCTGCAGGCAGCTGACTCGCTCTGGAGCCAGGCAGCTCCCACACATCTGCTGGGCAGGGGACTCAGCAGCTGCTTTTGGAAAGGGAACGAGCAAAGGTTCGCTGGGCAGCCCTGGAGAGGGGCAGGACTGGCTCCTGTGGGATTTTACCAGGGATACACACTTCACACAATGATGCTTTGGCTGTCCCTAAACCAGAACATTCTCCAACTGGATAACAATGCAGCATCGTGTTCCCAATTCTGTCTTCGTGTGGAGACTCAGACTGTTGCAAACTTGCCACCTCCCTTGTGGAGATGTTAAACTGCTGAAGCAAAACCCTTCTCTGCACATCACATAAACATTCACTTTAAAGCCCTTGCTTGAAATAAAAGTAGAGGCCTTCTACTGAATCAGCCTGTCATACACTGAAAGACGTGGTACAACTCATCACGTGACATTGTTAGTCAATTGAAAATAAAATGAGATTCTTCTTTTTCTGCTTTTTCTTTTCTACTGCTTTTTGGACAGCTTTGTGATGCTTCATTTCTGCCTATTTTCCCTCCAGTCAATACATTTGGTGCTCAAATTTATTGATTTTTCTTTTGATGCTTCTTTAAGACGTGAACATCTTTTTTTCCAATCTAGGTCATGCGCTTGGAAAGTTGAAAGATTTTTAAATCACAGGTGTGACAGAAGCATTACTGGATGGAGGAACTAAGGTTTGTGCTTTTCAGAAGCTCCCAGCGGATGGTTGCAGTTACTTTTTTATCTGTGGGGTAAAAGAGAGTCCTAAACATGTTGGTTTGCCTGCTGGAGACACATTTTGGTGGCTGTAGATTTGGACAGTGCTGGTGCTTGACTTGTAATCTAGAGAAGATGCAGTGGCAGCTCAATGGTGACACGTTCCCCTTGCCACTCTGACAAAGTTCAAAAGTAAGTGTAGGATCATGTGTAAATCCTTCAGAAATCCTGATTAGAGTGATCTCCTTTCTTGGGCAGTCGGTGTTATATAGGATTAGCAGATTAGTGTAAAGGAGTTTGAGCCTGAAATGCAGGTAATACCAAAATGAAAGTATTGCTTCTTTTGATCGTTCTTGATTTGTTTCTTTGTGTTTGGTGAAATGAGCTGGCTTTGGTGTGGGGGTCCCAGGTGCAAGGTCACCGTAGGAACAGGTAAGAGGGAGTGAGGCAGGGACAGGAGGAGACTCAGTGAATGTTGTCCTGCTCCAGGTAAGCCTCCAGTTTCCTTAGAAGGGAATTCCACTGCATTGAACTGTCACCGGGGGCTTATCCAGAGCGTTTCTTGCTTGTCAAGTCTGTAGCTTGTCAAGTGATATTGAGATAGATATATATGTAAAAAATAATAATAATAAAACACCTGTTCCTGTACTTGAGTATGGGTGGCCTCATACTCATGTACATGAGTATGGGAGTGGAGTGGGTGGGAGTGGGAAGGGAAATAAGGTAGATACCTGCTTTGTCCCAGCACTGCATCCACTCTGTAAAGCCAATGTGTAAAGCAAGATAGAAAACCACCAAAAGTTTAATTAATGTTTTCCCTTCTCTCATTGATACTATCACCTTGCAGGTGCACACTGAAGGGGCTGTAAACGTGATGGGTCATGTCTGTCTGAGAGGGGAATGCCAAAATAATCTGGATCTTGTTGTGTGCTTTTTCTTAATGCCCTTCCCTCCTCAGCCTTACCCTTTGTCTGCACTCTGTGTCCCAGGGCCCTGCACAGCCTAAGTTAAAACCAGGTGAAAACCAAAGTGATAAAAAGAAAAAATAAAAAAAAAAAGAGATGAGGGGAGACTAAATCTGTTTCACTGCCACTATGTTTTATTCTCTTCTTTTATTGGGAGAGGTAAAGGCTGTTTGGAGAAGAGGGGAGAGATGTGTGAGGAGTCAAGAGTGAAAGCTTCCCCCTCAAATCATTCCTGCGTATCAGAACAACTGTAAAGTAAGTCTTAACAGTGGAGAAAAGGGTTGACAGCAAAGCCAGGTGTGATACCTTAGGAGCCATTAATTACAAGGACTGTTCAAGGATGTTCACTGAGTTAACTGCTTCATTTTTTTAATTGTTCTTGGACAGGAGGGAGGCAATGGGGTTGCAACCTTAGTGGCATCCATTTCCTTTGGACCTGGGGGTAAAACGTAGCTCCCAGCCCCAGGCATTGAGAAATGCC